TCCTCCTGCGACCAGTCACTGTCTTTAACAATGTAGTGTATGATAAATATATTAGTAAAAACTTATAACTTCTGAAATACATACAGTAGATATTATAAAACATACGAACTATGTAGGAAGTAACTTGGCACTGGTAACATTTTATGAAACGTAGCTAATTAAATAATAAACGAGCTACATTAATTTATAAAAATTATACCTACACACAGACAAACTTGAAGATTTGTCTCCCAGCTGTCGGATCGACCAATTCGTATGTAGAGAAGTTGCTTCTCTACATTTGGATTGGAATAGCGAGCCCTTGTATATGTTGTTTATAGATTATGATTTAGGCTCTATATTCTTTTCTATCTTCAATAATTCTTCCGAATTAAACCCAAACTGAGTCTCTCCTGCTGCTATAGTGACGTCACACCACCGACAGTCGCTGTAGTGGTTTGAGTGGAGGCCAGACGGACCTCAGACTCGCGGTACACATGTAGTTGCCAACTTCGTGTATTACATTGATTTATTTTACAGTAAACGTTGTCTTGTTCACTTTGATATAACTGATGGAAACTGGTTTCACTGAACAGTGCAAACTGATAATTTGTGTATAATATATACAATATTTTTATTAGAGTAAACAAAATTTACTTATTTGACCTGACTTTGTCCACTACCTAATAATAACACGTACAGTAGCTAAAACAACTGTATGTGCAGGTGGGGGTCGATATGCTCCGAAATTTTACTTGTGACTGATGTCAGCCATCATATACCAAAATTTATCGTCCATGGTCTCATATTGTTTCCCACAAAGTATGCACAGATAGTTGTTTTAGCTACTGTACAAGTCTTGTACTTAACGGGATTATGAGTTGATCAGGTGTGACCAAAGGTCCTGACGTATAACTTATACATTTGACGATGTATTGTTTGACACTAAATGATGGTAAATTATGAGAAAGACTAACTGCGGTATACAGTGCACAAAAACATGGTTAAAATTAAGATGAAATGTTGAGCAATTACAACTAAGAACATAAGAATGGAGGAAACTGTAGCGGGCCTATTGGCCCATAATGGGCAGTCCCATTTACACCCAACTCCTATTCCTCATATATCCATCCAACCTATGTTTGAAGAATCCAGCGTATTTGAGTTAATGATATTTAGTAACTTGTTCCACTTGTCCACTATTCTATTTCCAAACCAATGTTTACCTATCTCGCGCCTAAATCTAGATTTGTCTAATTTAAAACCGTTGTTACGAGTTCGCTCCTGGTTGGATAGTTCGAGTACCTTTGTTCAGCCCTGACTTCCATTTATACACCTCTTATATCGCCCCTCACTCTACGTCTCTCGAGGGAGTGCAAATTAAGATGCTTTAACCTGTCTCTACTCAAGGTTCCTAATGCCCGGGATTAGTCTTGTCATTCTCCTCTGAATTCTTTTCAAGGATTCTATACCCATTCTATAATACGGTGACCAGAATTGAACTTGTCTTTACTGGCAGTGAACAGTAGTCTATTCAATATTATGCGTAACTATTAAAACGAAGGCAGCCATTACCATTGTTACAAGTATCTGGAGTAATGAAGTAGCTAGAACGATCACATTAATTCAATATTTTTGTCTGATTTCCTCAAGACTTTACTGTTGCCACCTCAAGACGGCCAGAAGTCCCTGACTCCCTGTGCACCTGCAATAATTAATATAGTTTCTTGTAATACACAAAATACATCAATATTTTTTAAATGTAGTTTCACGAATTTTTTATTTACATTATAATAATAACAAGACAATTGATGAAAAAGAGAATACTGTAAATCAAGTGGAAAAATGGGAAGGAGGCCAACATTAGTTGATTAAATGTGATGACGTAACAAACAAGTTAAAGGAGAAACTTGGTGTTGAAAGAAGAGACAAGTAGCCCGCGCTAGTGGGTCTTGGTCGGCCTCTTGCCCCTAAAAAGCTCCAGTGGTTTTTTAATATATTTTTTTCACTTCCCCGCTGACCACGTGTCAATATTTGCATATATTCACGCATACGTACTTTCGTTCCCTCAAGTTTATAAGTAGGAATAAGTAAATGTACAGCAAAAGAAATATATGTTCAGACATAATTATACAACCTCGGATTATACCAGACTAGATTTTCAAGCTGATTGATTTACTCACAGGTGTTGGACGGGAGGCACTAGTGTTACCTCGGTCTTACAGCTTTGTGATACTATGACTGTATAGTATGGGTCTTT